AACTCTAGAGACGGGGCTTTTTCAGATATGACATTTTCTGTGAAGAGGGTGAAATTCTTGATCATTTAGAGTGTCGACTGATAAAACTGCTGGAGGAACGACCTGCTGTTTCTTCATTCACCACACGGAGATTTAAAAGATAAACTTTTCTTTAACCTTAACTTTAACTTGATTTTTCTTTTGTCAATCTGTCTAACAATAAAAAACCACCACTGATTTCTTAATGCTTTTTGACAGCCAAATTGGAAATAATTGTATGACATAGACTGATTGAAACATCTCACACACTTTCCAGTGAGTACAGAAGCAGCATATATTTGAAGTAAACAAGAGAAATGCTAAATTTTGAATTGTAATTTTTTTTTTTTGTGGGGGTGGGGGATTATTCCGAACTCCCATATATTATTATTCTTGGTTTAAAAAATTCCAGGAAAGTGTTAAGGAAGAAATTCACCTAAGTTTCATATATTTTCATTATTATTAATATTTTTACTTAGAGTTATTCCCTAAGCTCTGTTCTGACTCTCAAAAATGATGTGAACCAGTAATTCCCCCTATAATTGTAGAATTCAACTTGCAAGGGAAATGGTATGGATGGCATAATGCTGTTAAATTTGTTGCCGCTATATAAATAATAATAATAATATAAAGACACCAATTATTTACACAGTTGTCTCCAAACTGGCAAAATTTGCGGCACATCTAGAGATTTCTGTTTACCTGCTTTTTGAAAGAAGAATTAGAGAAATTTGCAATCTTTCTCAGGTGGCTGTGCAAGATAAATAAATAAATAATAAGACCAAGGACCCGTGAACTTCTATATGCTCACACCACCAGTTCTGGTGCAAGTATTATATATTGGATGGGCAGCATTTAAAGTTTGACTAGAGGTTGGGTGAAGCAATTGGTGAGAAGCCATCGTGTGAGGACCTTGCAATGGGTTAGAATCAAGGAGCAGGTTCTTCCATCAGATAGCTGCCCCCCCTGACATTTTATTCTCACACTGCCATCTATTGTGTGAGGGAGCAGTGGGGCCATGTCACTGGGTTACTAGGTTAACCACAACTATCTCAGAGTTCCCAGCTTGATGTACAAAGAAAGGCATCGTGTTCCAAACTTTATCCTTAATTTCTGCAATGGACACTTATATAATACTAAAGACACTAATCTCTTAGCAATGGGCAATTTTTCAACACAGCTGTTTTTAAAACCAAATCATGTACTTTGATACAAAAATTCAAGAGACTAGAAACCACCAATATACTGTACAGTTTCAAACCTTTGGTCCTTGGCAGCATGACATTAATTCTGGTCTGGAAATTGTTTTTTTTGTGAGTAGATATCTATGCCTAAGGCAGACTTTAAAAAGTACAATTTTGAGATATATAGGTTATGCACTGCAAAGTTTTGTATCTGCTTCAAACTGTAGGGAGTTTTATCTTCCAGGCCAGAACTGACGCAATGCTGATGAGATCCAAAGGGTCCAAACTGTACAGTCTATACCTGGTTTCTAGTACCAGGCCCTTTTATATCATAGCCCTCGCTTTGGTTTTTAAAAAAAAAAAAAAAGCAGTCTGCATGCAACCATCCATCCATTTCATAAATGCTAATTATTTGGGAACCAAGCAGTATACTGCAAAAATATAAATATTATGTATATATTTTACAGTTCACGATAGACACATTTTCCCACTATTTGGTTTACAGATCTATGAAGTATGCAAAATTAACCAAACTCACGAAAAAGGAGCAGGAAAAAATATCTGTATTTATATATAATATATTTATTAAATACTTACAGGGTTATTTACTAAAGTGTGAATTCAGAGTGAATTCAAAGTGAATTGCAAATTTAAAGGGACACTCCAGGTACCCAACTCACTTCTGCCCATTGGAGTGGTCTGGGTGCCAATTCCCACCAGCCTTAACCCTGCAAGTGTAATTATTGTAGTGCGCTTTAGGTTTTCCCTGCCGACGTCAGCCTGGCCAGAGCTTGACCCAGCACTGAGGGACATCGGTGCTGGATTCAGGTAAGTCACTGAAGGGGTTTTAACCCCTTCAGCAACATGGGATAGGGGGTGGGAGGGAGAGGTAAACTCCAGGGTCCCGGATATGTTTTCCTGGCATTGGAGAGTCCCTTTAAGGTAAAAATTGTAAAACTTTAAAAATTCTCTAAGGCAGATATTCTTCTAGTTAGGCTAGTTTAACCTTAAATTTAGAATTCACTTTGAATTCTCACTTTAGTGAACAACCTTGATAATATATAAATTATATAAATATAGATTTAGTTTACTACTCCTCCTTAATTACCCTCTATAGCTCACTCATCGCTTGATTTGTGAATGAAATCAACATTTAGTGACTGCCCTTTAACAATAAATCATATCGGAGGGTGGGTGCCACAAACGGAATTCCGTATCGGGGAACAAACAAAATGTTTTTTTCCATCACAGTTGCTTTGTGATTCTGTCGTATGGCATTTTGTGGTTTGGAATTCTATATCTATACATAAACGCAAAAAAAAAAAAAATCACTAAAAGTTCAAGAGACTCACTAATGTTTGTAACGTGATTCACACAAGTTGTATCCGTTTGTGAGATATCACATGTTTTGTTTGTTTGTTTTGTTTTTTAATCCATACTTTTAATTGCTAGTTAAAATGGCTTGTACCCTTTAGATAGGAATTTCAAACTTCCGGTAAATATATATATATATTTTATTTACACCACCTCAGTGTTTGTATTTTAATTTCCTGTTTCATGTGTAAAGAATGGGGTACTTCCCATCATGCACTTGTAATCCACCTGATTAATTGTTGAATGTGCTTCTGGCTTCTCGTTTTATCGGCAAAGTAGGTTAGAGATTAAGAGAGTTAGTGTTGCCTTCTCAATATCCCTATCATGATAAGAGAAAATTATTAGTAAGAATTTATGAAATGTTTCTGAACCATTTGAAAATAAATAATCTGACATGCACATAGAATTTTGCTGCTCTGCTGATTAATGTGATCTGTGTGCATTATAGCAGAAACTCAGAAAGTATGGCATTATAAACATTCAATGCAATAAAAAGCAATATCCATTTATTTATTCAAGGATTCAGATTAGTCTACTGCTATTTTAAATGGTAGGTGCGTTTTCAATGTCCACTGAAACTATGGACTTAAAACACCATTGCAAAAGCAATTGTCGAACTAAACACGTTCAACTTTTTAGTTCTGTATTGTTGTTAGACTGTTTTTTGATACAGTAAGTATGCTATATGGTTTGTTTAGAAGACACCTTCCCAGCATTGCTCTGATTTGATCATTTCAGTAAGTAAACTCCCATCAAAGGGATTCCTATTCTGTTTAAAGGGGAACACAACAGGATTTTTATTCTTAAGCTTACATATCCCTCATATTAAACAAATATGTGTTTGTGAAATCACAGATATAACTTCAAAGGGAATATGTACTTCTTACCTGACCCTCTGCTCCTGCACCGCAATCTCCTAATGGAGGTGTGTGTTGCACTTCTGTAACACCTACCTCCGGTCTATCATCAGCTCCTCCCACAGTTTTCACTGATTTGCCGTGCTTGGGAAAACTTCCCTATAAGCAGGGCAAACTAACCCCATCATGCTGACACTCTGTCCCCACCTAGGGAGTTACCATAGCAATTACAGCATGTGTACAGTTGTTTCTATGGGTAAAGAGCAGTAGGAAGGCCTGTGGGTGGCCCCCCGTTCAACTCTAAATCTAGTAAAAATCTTAGCTTTATTCCTGTCTGCTGGTGCTGGTGCTGATTTGCTTCTTTGGCTGAAATCATTAGAAGTGGTGATCTGAGCCAATCACAATGCTTTCCCATAGGAGAGCATTGGATTATCTGAGATTGTCAAAGAGGCAGATCAGGGCCAACAAAAGCCAAACACAGCCCTGGCCAATCAGCATCTCTGTGTAGAGATGCATTGAATCAATGCATCTCTATGAGGAAAGTTCAGTGTCTCCATAAAGAGGGCGGAGACATTGAATGCCACACTGCCACAGGAAGCAACTCTAGTAGCCATCTGAGTAGTGGCCAGTGGAGGTATCCATAGGCTGTAATGTAAACACTGCCTTTGCTCTGAAAAGACAGAGTTTTCTCCAATAAGCCTGGCAGGAATGATTCAACTCATCAGAACAAATACAATAAGCTGTAGTTGTTCTGGTGACTTTAGTGTCCCTTTACTTCTTCGGCATAGAGTCTATGCTGAGAAATGCATTGACAGGTTGGAGAAAATCCTATTTTCCACAGAAATATCGATTCCAAAAACGACCACCAAATTCAGAATGGTTAAAAAAGGAAAGTGAAAAAAACATGTTCCGTTTGGAAAAAGTGATGGAAAGACTGAAATATTCAATTGTATCCTCAAAAAATGGCCTATATTAAAAATGATGGTTATGATGCAAACGAAGCAAATGACAAATAATAACAAATGAAATACAAACATTTAAAATGTCTACAATACTTTTCTAAATTGCCATCAAATTCCCTCAATGTTTTCCCTTCTCATTTCCAATGTGTGCATTGGCTGTGCCTTGTCTGTCTCCTACACAGCATGGAAAAACATGGGAGCTGCAGTGTTTAGACTGGGCTGCAGGAATATCCTAGCACCACTACAGAGACATGACCTATGGCTTTTGGAATTAAAATGTTAAAAAATATTAATAGTGTAATTATTATGCGTGGAGGGTGGAAACAAATTGTTTTTTTTTGGGATAGGATTCATGAATTAGAAGGAGAAAATAAGAGTGAAGAGCTTTTGTTTTTGTTTGGAGAGATTTCTTTAACGAGGAAGAAGAGTGATACAAAATAAATTTGACATAGAGGGAAACAAGGAGGGTACACACACAACCATAAAAATACCACACTGCTCACACACAAACACTTGGTATGCATGCACAGTCTGTTGTGCAAAATAAATATACACCCACATTCATAAACAAGCACTTGCCGTTATGTGTTCCCACTTACATACACTGATCAAAATTATAAACGCAACACTTTTGTTTTTGCACCCATTTTTCATGAGCTGAACTCAAAGATCTACGACTTTTTCTATGTAATAATCATGCTGTCTAATCAGCATCTTGATATGCCACACCTGTGAGGTGGATGGATTATCTTGGCAAAGAAGAAGTGCTGACTAACACAGATTTAGAAAGATTTGTGAACAATATTTGAGAGAAATAGGCCTTTTGTTTACATAGAAAAAAGTCTTAGATCTTTGAGTTCAGCTCATGAAAAATGGGGGCAAAAACAAATGTGTTGCGTTTATAATTTTGTTCAATGTATTTCTAATCAACAATGACAGGTACATTCAGAGCTTGTTACATAAACATTCAAACTGCTTGCAAACAATTTCACAGGCACACTTTTACAGACACTCCAACCTCCAAATACAAAAAGTCACTTATACAATACAGATACTTTTAGACTCTGACAGACAGACAAGCATGTGCATGCTATCACAGTCTGTCTGCCTCTGTGGAGTAAGTTACAGACAGGGAGGTGTTTCTGCTCCTAATTATAAAAGTGCAGATTTTTATTGACATTTGATTATAAACTGACAGACTTCAGCAAGCTGAAGTGTTTTATGAATGTGGAGTTTTCCTTTAATGCTTAATTACAGGAGGAATACTGCAAAGAAATGAGAACCAGCCCATAATCACAATTTGCTTTTCTTATACTTGGGGAAAAAAAGTTTTACACTGTCCCCCGTTGCAGCCTCTAAAGCTAGATGTTTAGTCATGATCTTAATATGACTTGTACTTTTCCTGTCCTGATGCTAGCATTGGCGAGAAAACACAATGAATAAAAAAATGATATCTAGCGCTTCCGATAATGTTAGTAGGCAGCTAGGACAACCCAAGCCAAGAGTCTCTTCTTTCTGGTAGTAGGAAAGTTGCAAGATGAAGAAAGAGGGTTAAAGCGCTTTGTGAGTGTCTTCTGATCCAGATGGTGCTTAGTGCATGTAAAAGAGCAGGAGACAATATAGTGTAGTAGGTACTTATACTTGGTGAAGAAAATATAGAAATGCACTTACAGTTTTTGTAACTTCTGATCAGTTCCAAATAGTAGCACTTGGGCTGTATGATCCCTGCCTGTGGATATAATGGTGCAGCAACAATTTTCCAGGAAGTGTGTCAGGATCCAGATGCACTGTATGGGAGCCCTGGCGTGGGTAGTAGAAGCTCACCGATGCAGTTGTGACATAAAAGGAATATAAAAACAACCAATAGTGCTCATTGATAAAAAAAAGAAAACAGTATTAAAGTAAAATCAAAACGAGAGGTACTCACAAAAGGAGATCAAAAATGTTTTTTGTTATTTTGATCTACTTTGGACCCTCCTAGTTGTTTTTAGAATATTTTATCCAAGAGGACTCCAGAAATATCCTTGGTGGGGATTATTCCTATGAGTATTATTCCACCTACACTATTTGGATTGAGAAAAAAAAATTTTGCTCTCTTTTTGTGAGTACCCCTCTTTTTTCTTTTACTTTAATACTGCTTTTTTTTTTTTATCAATGAGCAATATTGGTTGTTTTTATATTCCTTTTATGCCACATCTGAATCAGTGAGCTTCTACTACCCACACCAGGACTCCCCTCCCATACAGTGCATCTGGATCCTGACATAGTTCCTGGAAAATTGCACCAGTGCACCAGTAGATCCGCAGGCGGGGATCATACCGCCCAAGCGCTACTATTTAGAGCTGATCAGACACTACAAAAAACTGTAAGTGCATTTCTATATTTTCTTCACTGCACTTTTACATGCACTGAACACCATCTGGATCAGAAGACACTTACAAGGAGCTGCAGCCCTCTTTCTTCATATTGGCGAGAAAATGACTGGCTTTCAGCTTGTCCTGACATTAGTAGTGATCACAACAGAACCTGCACCCTGTCTACCCTGACACAAATAGTGACTGCAACATAACCTACACACTGCCTGTCCTGATAGTAGAACTGACTATAACATAATCTGCATTTTGCTTGCCCTGACAGTAGCATTGACTGTAACATAATTCACACTCTGTCTGCCCTGACAGTAGCATTGACTTTAACATAACCTGCACTCTGCCTGCCCTGACAGTAGCATTGACAGTAACATAATCCACACTCTGCCTGCCCTGACATGAGCATTGGATGTAACATATTCCACACTCTGTCTGCCCTGACAGTAACATTGAATTTAACATAACTTGCACTCTGCCTATCCTGACAGTAACACTGACTACAGTAGTTGAACCTAAATGACATACAATTTGCCTGCCCTGACACTAACAGAGACTGCAAGATGACCTATATTTTGCTTACACTAAAACTAATTGTGGCAAAACATGAAATCACCACTATCTGCCTGGGAAAGAATACCCACCTCAATTTAGAGATTAAGACAAATATAGGTTAAATTTTCGCAGTGACACCAAAATTTATCAAGGATCCATTTTCAACACTGGACTTACAATCGAGGCGTCGTGAAGCTGCTTTAAGATAAATGTCAATGTATTTTATGAGAAAAGTGGATTCAGTTTGTAAAACTCAAAAAAAAAGTTTAAAAAAAGAAACGTACAATACGCCTACAATAGCTCTGAATAATTCATTACTTATCTAATTAATTATTGATTATCATCTTAGGAATTGTATGTATTTCACATTGACCAGATTTAAACAGTGAAATCCATGGATAAATTCTTCTGTATTTTGGTCATTTATATTAGGCTTCATGGGGGAGAATGTCAGCTCTTGAGAGTTTCATGATCAAATTCAACTCAATACAAGTTCAATCCAGGTGGCTAGATGCAATAACCTACACATGATAAAAACCTTAACTGTCCGCTAAAGCAAACCATACAGTAAAAAGTCCTGCAATTTAAAGAATGGATGAAGGTAGAAAAATAATTCACAGATATAAAAAATAAATAAAAAAAATCTGACCTGTTTTACTCTGATTGACTACTTTAAAGTCAATACAAATTCAAATTGCATTAAAGGGGTAATCTAAGCACCATAACCAATACAGCTTATTGTAGTGGTTATAGTACTAGCATGCTGTGGCGCCTAAAACTATTTTCAAATGGATCAACCAAAGTGGAGGATCTCCATCATATGTATTGGACTAATCGTCAATTACCTTATAGCTAAAACAAAGGTTCCACTTCCACAGTAGTAGTAGTAATATCCATCATATTTCGGCAATGCTAGGTTGAACCCTTTGGCATGTTTACAGATGGAAAAATGCTGTAAAATGGGCAGCCGAACAACATTTTAGTTTTGTGCAAAGTGCGTGGATTTATACAGTCATTCAAACAACAACAAAAATCATGACATGGTAAAATATTGCAAAGACTGTGACTGGAACATCTGAAAGCAAAGACAAACTGAAACATTACCCCTGCCCCATCTCCACCACCGCCACCACCACAGGGCAGTATGAAATAATTCAGTAGACGTTTAGTAGCATTTGAAAATCAAATACTAAGAGAACGAGATTCAAGATCAATAAACACAGATTTTGTAAAGTGCCTGAAACATAGTAATATGCTTTTATTTAATCTTTATGAATATATTAAAACTATTTGCATCTTGTAGACCCCGGGCATTATTAAACAGGAAGTTAAGCCCAGTAGTTAGCACGTATGTAATGATACATATCTCCTTTGTTTGGAACGATGAGATGCCTCACTGTTCTAGCTTCTGTAATCCTGTTCCATATGCATGAGCCGTCATTCTTATGGATAGAATCCAACTTGGGATAAGGTTATTCTTGCAGTGACAAACTAGTGGTTTGGAAATTGTGGTGCCTTGAGATTAGTAGAATGGCAAAACATATTGTAAACCATATTGTTTGGAATGAGACAAGACAGGAATTATTGACTGTCCCCAAGCAGTTCCATTCCAGAAACATACTTATTGAAATAAAAACAGACTTGATACAATTCAACAGACTGCAGGGGAGATTGGCAAAATATTTATTTTCTGTGATTAAAATTGCTAAAAATGTGTGGCAGTACCAGTGAGATAGCAGATTAGTTAATGCTCCAGATGTATTATCTCAGGACCAAACTTCTGGAATAAAAGGGAATCATGACATGTCACACATGTCATGTGTCCTTAAGGGGTTAAGGCTGCTGTTTTCTTGGGAGCATTATTAATTATATTCATTGTGTTTTACTTTATACTGGCCTCTGAGGAAGTCCCCTGGCGGACGAAACGCATAAGACAAATACTTTTTTTATATTTTTTACCAATAAACCTCTTTTTCTACCTATCTACCTGTCAGAGTCCAGCATGGTTCCTGATACTGGGTGATACCTGATCCAAAGAGGGAGACACTAGCCCCCAAAAACATTGGGAGAGGCACCAATAGAGTACATACATTTCCAACATCCTGTGAGTGCAATCAATAGCAGGGAATATAACTTTTCCAAAACTGTATTATGCTATGTTTTATTTTATTTGATTTTAGATTCATCAGCTGAATCCCACACATATTGTACTTATTGGCTTGTTCAGATATAACACTACTTGGGAGGTGTTCAGTGGGAACAGCTTTGATGACACTGAATCTGACTAATGTGCCTAATGGAAAAATATTGGTTTAAATGCTTCTTTGTGTGAAGCATTTCAATGACTAAGTTCACCATATAACATACGTGCATAGGTCTACACTGCTTCTCTGTAAGAATAACCTGATTGGATCAGAGATCATCAGGGTGGATAATCTAAGTAGATAGGAGTTTGTCCTGGAATGGGATACGTATCCTGGGGATGTTTCATTGCGCTTTTGAACTATTTAAAAAAAAAAAAAAAAAATTGGACCCAGTCATTTAAACTAAGAATGGAACAAGGAGTATATGTTACTTTGCAACTGCTGTCTGAAAGATATGCAGGGAATACAGCGGCTTTCACTGGAGGGAGGACAATTTATTTTACATTGACCAATATAACAATGAAAATTAAATCAATAAGAGAAAACCTAGCAAGCTCCAGCTGTCCACTAGGAGCTATACTAGCAAACAGCAGCAAGTCTCCTTCAAGGTTAGTGACTGATAGCACAGGTGATACCAGAGACAGTGTTTTACTCCTCTGCCTTTTTCTCAGTCTGCTGCCATCTATTTTCCAGGTAAATAAAACATGTGCACCTGGGCATTAACCTGATGTAAAAGAAGACATGATTCATCAGATCAGGCAACCTTCTTCCATTAATCCATGGTCCAGTTCTGACACTCACGTCCACATTGAAGGCGCATTTGGTGGTGGACAAGGCTCGTCATGATCA